TTTTCTTGCTTGTTTTTTGTAGAACCAGTCCATGAACATTGAGTTAACAATTGCCTTTCAAATAATCTATCCATCAATAAGTACGCTATTTTGTTTCCATCTTTCTTACCAGTCATACCTCCTATTTCACTCATCACTTTTACCTATTTGACAAATAAGCTAAGACAAATATTTCACAATATTACATCTTATTTACGAAATACATTTAGAGAATATACAAACAAGGGACTTACAAATGCCATTTCAAATTCTTGATTGCACAGATTTTTTTCTAAATCAATAATATCCGATTCTGTTGCTAATGGCTTCATTTGTTTTATATCCATTTCAAAGATTTCGCTTTTTGCAACATTTTCAGGTTTCTCAATAATATTATTGCTTTGATTCGTAATTAGAAGATCAATTAATTTGTCAAATTTGACATGTAGTGCAGATATCTTCATCGGTATATTAACCTTTTTCATATTTTCTATATTTGAATTTATTGTATCAAACTTTTCTTGAACTGAAAAAGAAACGATAAAACATATTATTTTTCAATGTGTAATAATAATATCATATACACTATTTGAAAATTTGTGTTATATTTAATATTTTTTCATATGTCCCAAACGGTCCACTTAAATTTTTGTGTTCATTTAACGTAAGATAAATATATTAGAAAGTAATACAAAAAATCTAATACTGTCACAATTTGTGTAAACTGTGGAAGCATAAATTTTCAATAAAATTAACATTTATAATATGTTAAATTAACCGTTCAAAATATCAATACAAAATTTTAACAAAACTTGAGTAGACCGTTTCTAACATAAAAACACAATATGTTTTTTATTATGTAAATAAATAAAAAATATTTGAATACTTTGAACAGTATCTAATGGCAATGCAGGAATTTCATCGTTAAATACAATTGCATTTGCAATTTCCATCACACTTTCTAATTGTTGTGAACTACTCTTTGAAATTTGATCGGAGATTGAAACTGAATTGATTGCAGAATGATTGTCTACATTTTCAATCATGCACATGTTATTATTTGTATTATTATTTTCTGTTAATAAATGATTAAAGTCAATATTATTGTTATCCTGAAAACGCTCTGTTTGTTTTGAAGAATTCTGCGCCAAATAACTGTAAACAAATATTGTTTTAAGTAATTTTTCAATTTGTTAACCTAAAATAATGCACAATTTTTTGTAAATGTAATGCATTTGTAAAAACAATTTTTCAAGTGTAATATATTCTTTATCATACAACTATAAAAGGTACAACTATTCAATTTATTTTTACTAAAAAATGTAGTTGAAATTTTATATAAAGGTACATACAGTTTTATATACATAGCTAACTGATGCTAACCTATATTGCAAATAATTTTCAGTATACGTATACCTACTTTTCTTCGTCCTCGGTATCATCAAACCGACTTAAATATTTTTCTGCTTTGATAGCAGCTTGAAATGTAGGAAAATTTTTTCTTTTTATAGTGCATTTTTGTTTTGACCAATTATCTGGTAAAACGCTGTCATCTTTTCGAAGGTTCATTCCTTTTCGTCCTGGTGGCCAAAATAAAATGCCGTTCTTCTCCCAACTCTCGGGCACAACACATAAATTAACTTTACCATCTTCAATTGTTTCTACAATTATAAACATTTTTGATTGATCTTATTTTTATTAGCACGAAACAGATCACGTCTTGATCAGCATGTATGTACATACATAATGGACATCAAGCGTGCACGTGTACCGCGTACCGCGCATGCGCATAGATAGAACCTAAAATACAGCCAAAATAGCTGTAATTTGGCTGTAATTTGTGTCACAGCAAAAGTAAAGAATAACATAACTATCAGTTTTATATTAAATTTAGTATGTATTATAACATGATCATTCAGACTGATGCGTTCACTTAAGCGACTCAAAAATTGTACTTAAGGATATGTATGTAAGATTTGTAATCAATGTACTTATAAATTTGCGTATGCGCTTATATGTATATTTAGATGTATGTTATAAGATGTAATATTTGAAATGATTAATTAATCTTTAAATTTGATTTAAGTTTAGTGAGGCAAAGGTTTCAGATTGTCCGTAGTTCAATCCCAGATAAAATAAAATTTAAACAATTTTTTTTCAATATTGTTACATAGTTTTAAATTTAAATTTAACTTTTATTGAATATTAATTATATATAATATAAAAAACATTTTCTATTTACTTTCATTTAATTTTTACTTATTCTGACTGCTGTGGCTATGACAACCTGTTTACAGTAAAAGAATTACGCTGTCAAATAGCTGCGACATCGTTTTCAAGATCTAAAAATGTTATCCCACTTTTGCCACTAAAACTTTGCCAAAACGTCACAATTATGCTGTGACAATGTTATCGCAGACGTTTTAAAGCTTCATCATGGCTATGATGACCTGTTTACAGCAAAATAGTTGTACAGGTGGCTACGATATCGTTTTCAAAGCCTAAAAATGTTGTCCCACTTTTGCTGTTACAACTATATCAAAACATAATAATGCTGTGACAGTAGCTGTGATAGACAAAAATGCTGCGATTTAAAATGCGACAACGTTATCGCAGACGTTTTATAGCTTCATGTGCTACTTGGGGTGTCTCGAAAGTTTAGCGAATCGAGTGTGTGAAATAGGTCACCGTGCGAATAGAGTGCGCAAAGACGTGGAAGTTGATGTGGAAGACGAATCGGCACATTGTCGGCCGATACGGGTGTCGTCAGTAATCAGAGCGAAGATTTAACGTTACACAGGGAGAGATACGTGTCATAGGCGGAACTCCGTGCGTTGACTGAGTGTACCAAACTGCATGATCCAATGTTACTATTCGACCGGAGATGCTCTAGCTCTATGCGCTACCTGCATGATTCATCTGAGGGACACCGAGCTCGGGGGAATAAATCTAGTGTTGAAGCACGAGATCGATTACGAACAATTGCTAAGTGGTCGATACTGCTCCAACTGCCGTATGAGGATGTATGTGATAATTCTTTGCAGTGTGTGTCCAATGTGCGCGCAGAGCGCAGTAGTGTAAACAAAAACACAAGGGTGAAAAGAAGACATGATCAGAAAAAAGATTCTAAGCTACAAGGAGTTCGATGTCCTGTGCGTTCTTCGTGATTCGCATGGAGAGACCGATGTGCGACGAGTATCGCCGGTGCAGTTTCTACGCGATCGGGAATTAGGAATACGCGGAACTGGTGAACACTTCGCGAGACAGGGAGTCATTGTCGACCAAGAGCCCGTGCATGAGTAGCCCCATCACGCGAAACAAAAAGTGTACGCGTGGTTTTGCGAGAAAGCGTACGAGGACTACGAAAGGTGTTTCGAGTACGAACATTGGAACGAAAAAAACGGAAATATCGATATGTAGATTTCACTGGTCTGGAGAACGAGTACTACTGGGCGAAGCAAATCGTCGAGAAGCTCGAGCGTGCCAATTTGTACATCGCGATTTCCGTGGGTAGCGAGAGGTACGTCGAGTTGCTGGTGATAGACGTACATCTACGGCGAGTGGAAGTTTCCCACCGTTGTAAAACGGCAGATCGACGAGCACAGGCTGCAGTGGGAGTGAATTTGACAAACATGGTAAGCTGGACGATACTTTTTGCAACTTTGTGCATCGTTCTTCGAGAACAGTGCATGTATCAGAGAGATGAAGAGTTGGAGGACTACCGCGTTCTAAATATGGACCGAACGTATCCACAGTGCCAAATCATGTGCAAGTGTTTCGTGGAAGAGTGCGACGCGATATAGAGAAAATCAAGGAACGTCTCGAGCGAGTGGAAAACGAACTGCGAAGCAGAGTCGCCAGATCGCCACTCTGGCGGAGTGTTTCGCGTGCGACGATGCGACGAGTGCATCCAGTGGCTCGAAGAACTCTGTCGCACCTCGGTTCGCCGCCGGAAGTAGACAGTCCGCGGTGACTCGCTGGTGAAAGGAGTGGAGAGACGATTCGTGCACGTGGGCGCCGGACACAGTGCGGGACTCGTGTGGCAAGAGATCGATACCGCGTTTCACAATCGCGTTCTGACCGGTGTGGTAATTATAACACGGCTTATATCCAGCCACAGCGATTTTTGGAGGACGCGGGCGATGTAGTGCTCGAGCGAGTGCGAGACGCTATAGAGAAACACGGTAGCGTGAAGGTGAACACCGCGTTCAACGGCGAGTTTACTTCAGATGACAAACGCGCCAATATAGGCATACCTTCGCGAAACGCGGAACTCTATCGAACGTCGGATGTGTGCGAATGGTACGAGAAGCATGTCGTCGAAGCCACGTTAACGAAGTTTGGCGAGTTCGAGAAGCGCGACAGTAGGTGGACGTTGTCGCGAATCCTCAACTTGATCGTAAACGTGAACAAGCACAATCCGATGCACGCGGGATGCAGCGTCGAAGTGCCGTAGGAGATAGCGACGAAACGAGCAGTGGTCAACGTGCGCTCGACGGACAATGCGTGCTTCGCGTAGTCGGTGGTCGCCGCTCTGCATCCCGTGGAAAGACACGCGGATCGGCAGTCGTCGTATCCACATTATGCAACGGTGCTCGAGTTCGCGGGTATCGAGTTTCCGATGACTCTAAAGGACATTACGAAATTCGTGCGAACGATGTATCGATAAATGTGTACTATATCGAGAAGGAGGGGAGCGAACTATGTGTTTTTCCTATACGATTGACCAGCCGAAAGATGAAGAGGCATGTCAACCCATTGCACATGCAGGATCCACGAGACAGCAGCATCGGCCACTTTGCATGGATAAAAAATCTGTCCCACCTCGTGAGCTCTCAACTCAGCAAGAAGCGACACAAGAAATTCTTCTGCGACCGGTACGTATCGAGAAAATACTAAAATAGAATGTTGTAAAAAGACAAAAATTAAGTAAAATATTTTGTGTTTACAAATGTTTACATTACTTCAACTTGCAGGAACGACTGGATGCCCACACCGTGGACTGCAACGAGCTGAACGTGTGCGGTAGATCTGCCGAAAGAAGACGCGAAATAGCTAACGTTCGGCAAATACAGCAACAAGGAACGTATGTCATTCGTCGTGTACGCCGACTTGGAGTGCGTTCTGGAGAAGATGGACCTGAATCTGCCTGAGTCTCAACAACACAAGGTACAGTATCGGATACTACGTGCACTGCTCGTACGACGACGCGTTATCGATGTATCGGTGTCGTCGCGATAAGGATTGCGTCGCGTGGTTCGTCGAGGAACTCAAAGAATTAGCGCACAAAGTAAAGTCCGCTCTGTCCGTTAACGTTCCGATGCCAGAATTGACGCGCGACGAATGCGAAAGATATAACAACGCTACGCACTGTCACATATGCGAAAAACCGTTCGCGGTGGAAGACACGCCGGTACGGGATCACTGCCACATGACTGGACGATACAGAGGTCCCGCGCATTCCAACTGAAATCTGAACTACAAAGATTCGCGTTGCATTCCCGTGGTGTTTCACAATCTATCCGGTTACGACGTGCATTTCATTATCAAGGAAGTAGCTACCGCATACGAGGGACACATGAGTCTACTTCCGGTAACGAAAGAGAAGTACATCGAGTTTACGAAAACGGTCAATGGCACGGAAATGGAAAAAAAGATTATAGAATTAGCGTAACATTACGCTTTATCGACTCGTTCAAATTTCTCAGTTCGAGTCTCGAGAAATTGGCATTTTATCTCAAGAAAGATAAATTACGGATAATGCAATGCGATTTTTGTACTCTACCAACGGAACATTTCGAGCTTCTCACTAGAAAAGGCGTATTTCCGTACGAGTACGTCGATCCCTTCAAAAAGTTGGAGGATACGCCGCGCGAATTATTTCACAGTTCGTTGACGGGCGACACCGTGTCCGAGAGCGATTGCGAGCACGCCGTTGACATGTGGCAGCGGTTCTCCATCGGAACGCTCGGCGAGTATAGCGATTTGTATTTGAAAACGGACGTCCTGTTACTCGCGGACGTTTTTGAACATTTTCGCGACAGCTGCGTCGCGAGTTACGGACTCGATCCCGCGCATTATTTTACGTTGCCGGGTTTCGCGTGGGACGCCACGCTGAAATACACGCGTGTAAATTTCGAACTGCTCACCGACATCGATATGATCTTGTTTATCGAGCGCGGTATACACGGTGGCCTCAGTCAATGTTCCAACAGATACGCGCGGGTCAACAATAAGTACATGTCTTCGACCTTCGTACGACCCGTCGAAACCGTCGTCGTACCTAATGTACTACGACGTGAACAATTCGTACGGCTGGGCGATGTGTCAGCCGTTGCCCTACGCTGACTTTCGATGGGTCGACGATGCCGAGAACTTTGACTGGGGCGCGATCGCTTCGGATTCGCCTACGGAGTATATTCTAGAGATCGATCTAGAGTATCCTCAATATCTACACGACCGGCACACTGACCTACCTTTCTGCTCGACGCGCGATAAACCGCTCGGCACGCGGCACTATAAGCTCCTCGTGACGCTCAACGATAAGAAGCGTTACGTCATCTACTACCGCAACCTGCAGCAATGCACTCGCCACAGCCTTCGCGTAACGAAGATTCACCGCGTGTTGCAATTCGCGCAATCTCCATGGCTTCGTGAGTATATCAAACTAAATACGAAATTCAGAACTG